CACACACACACCAGTTGAGTTATTTCCATACTATTATTATGACACTGTTCAAGACGTCCGTCCGTCTAAGACAATCACTTTTCTCTTTGACAATGGTTTGGCGTCTTGGATAATTTCGACCGTACATTAATGTCTTGTTTCTTTTTCCCTTCAGCGTCTCCTGGAGGATGTGGTCAGCAATCGTGCCAGGGCGGAGGAGGTGGTGGCCCAGCACCCAGAGGCGTCCGGAGATGTCCAGTCTTCGTCTCTTCCCGGCCAAAGTACGCTCACCCAAGCTGGGCACCTCATGTCGGAGATGGCGCTTCTGGAGACTACCGCCACCGAACAAAGAGAGAGTTTGAGGTAATGGCGAGCCCCTTTTTTTGTCTGTGTGACTTAATTTTAGTTACGATTAGTTTCTATCTGTATCTCTCTTTCTCACACACGCACTCTCGTTCTCTCTCTGTCTCTCTGTCGCTCTCTCTCTCTCTCTCTCTCTCTCTCTCTCTCTCTCTTATTATCTCATTTTAAAACTGAAACTAAAACTGTTTTTTGAAATTTGTATTGTCTCTGCTTCTCTCTATTTTGAGACAGGCTGTACCAAATTGTTTTTAAATTGATTTTTAGGAGCGTAAAATTCGACTAATTTGTATCCTATCTGCTTTTTCCTCATTCCTGGCTGTAACTAGACTAAGCTGTATTTCCTTTGCTTCTGTGGGTGGTTGGTGGATATTCTGGAGTGGTTTGCCCCTTCTTTTCTATCAAACATCTATCGCCCTTATCTCTCCTCCTTTTGTTTGTATGTTACTCTTTGGTAACACCTCTAATCTTTGGTATTAATATGACCTATTTGTGTTTCAAAGGCGGTAAAACTCTTACTAAAACTATACCTTGTTTCTCTCTCGCCCTCAGACTAGCCGTGTCGGAGCAGGAGAAGTATGAGCAGGAACTGAGCCAGCTGAACAGCGCCATCTCGGAGGCCCAGCAGCAGCTTCTTGCCTCCCCGGTCACGGCAAGCAGTGTCGGGGCGCTGAAGCAGCAGATGGCTGAACATAATGTACGTCCCTGGCCGGGCTAAGGCAAACACTCAGTTGTTCAGTTGTTCCGTTGTTGCACGCTTAACCTCTCCACTGCTGGCACTCATCATGTTCATGTCTCTTTCTGTTCTACGGTGCAAAGTGGATTTGGGTAAAGGATGTGGAGGGGTTTATCTGTTTTGGTCAACCTCTCCTTTGCTGGGCCTCATTTCTCTCGG